ATTAAATCATTATATTCATCTTTAATTTGCAAAATTTGTTTTGATAAATTTTCTTTTTCTTCATTAAAAGTCAAAAATGTTTTACCATGATTATAAATTTTTGCAACATCACCTAAAAAATTTTCCAAAAACTCTATGCTAAGTTCTTCATTATTATTGGTACTACTGCTATTGTTGTTAAAGATGCTATTATCACTGTTACTGTTATTATTACTATTATCACTGCTACTATTATTATTTACGATATTTTCTGGATCATTTATATCAATCAAAGCTTCTAAAAATATATTATTCTGATTCTGTTCATTCTGACTCTCATTCTGTTGGTCCTGTTCGTTCTGATTTTGTTGGTTCAGTTCTTTTTGTTGGTTCAGTTCTTTTTGTTGGTTCTGCTCGTTTTGTTGGTTCTGCTCGTTTTGTTGGTTCTGCTCGTTTTGTTGGTTCTGCTCGTTTTGTTGATTTTTCTTTCTATTTTTTCGACCCATCACATACAATTTAAAGTTGAGAAGTAACGTTACGCATAATTTACTAGATAATATATACAAGGCTTTAAATATTCATTTTACGTGTAACATATCATATTTTGCAGCGATAGAAATCCCCATTGATATTCTAACACATAAATTTATTATTATACATGGGATGGTAATTACCTAATTACCGTAAATACGCAATTCGTAATCATCGTAATTAATTTCTTTAAAAACGTAATTACGAAATTTATTACAGGTGACGAAACTAATTACGGGCGACGAAATTAATTATGAATAATGTTGTTTGAAATCAAAGAAACTGAAAATTTTATATACAACCCGTTATTAACGCTACATTGATTAACCAACGTCAAAAACTTTGCTCTACATCAAAGCAAATAAACAAAACCTCAGAGTTCTATACCACCCTGATAACCAAATGGGCAGTTTAATTTCCGACCATAAAAGTGTTTTTATAAGAGAGACAAAGAATATTAGTATGTGTGAAATTATTTCGTCCCGCGTAATTAATTTCGTAATTGCGTATTACTATTACGTATTACCGTAAAGTCTCGAAAGATATCATCCCTTTTTACAACTGTTTACAACTATGTAACAAATGATTTTCAATTGTTTCAAAGTAGGGAGGGGTGCTATCTTTCGGGGCGTTATCTTTCGAGAGACTTTACGGTACGTATTACGCAAAAACGATTACCATCCAATGTATGATTGATTAATTAATGGGATTTTACATCACCCATAATTAATTTCGTCTACAATGCTCGTAATTAGTTTCATCACGCGTGATTAATTTCGTAATTAGATATTATGTATTGCATTTTTGGCAAAACAATCACCGTCCCATGTGTATCTTTGTAAAGTTTATTTTTTTTGGGTAACTTAAATATTGCAATTATTTCTCACTCTGTTCTTCTCCATTTATCTACCCATGCAAACTTACTCATTTGAATGGTTCCAATCACTATTAATAGTGATAGAGGAAAAAGGAATTGATCAATTATAGAAACACATACATATCTGACTGTCTCATTATATAAAACTTAAGGACACCATCACCAACTCATTTTGGCAGGCCAAATTGGGATAAATATTTTCAAAAATGAGGTCAAAATATCCTGAAACCGATGTTGATGTACTTTTTGTGGACTAAAAGCACTTAATCATAAATGAAATTTTTTTATGGAAAGGATTCTAATTTTTTGGGGGGTTTTTATTGTTTTTACAATTATATAAAATATATACAGTGCACACTCTCTATAACGAAACTTTGCAGGCCCAATGAGGCCGATAGACTGGCTAAAAAAGTTCACTATAGAAAACTTGTAGATCTTCACATAGATTGAATCATTTATAAAAAAAAATTACAAAAAGTTGTCAAGTGTTGATTGTTGATTCTATTTTCTTTAAGACTTTAAATGGTTAATTTGTTGTTACTTAGCTGCAACTTTTTGGATTGTTGGTCAATGTATATGTTTAATTATTCTATTACCAATAAAGTTTCTTTATTTTGCTCATTTACAATATATCTATTTCGTGATCCTTTTCGATATCATCAATTACGACGTATTCAAATGCAGATACAGAATCAGTGGGTGCATAAATATTAAATCGAAATTTATTATCTACCAAACCGGAATTTATTATTAAAAACGTAAAAATTACTAATACTAACACTAAGAAAAAATAAATAGAAGATGTAATATACGATCATCAGTTTGGATGATTTGAAAAATTAATTAATTAATTCGTTATAAACAGAGTGCTGTAGCATTATTTTTGTATTTACAATATAATGTACAACATATACATTTATGTATGTAATAATAATTTCAAAAAAACTGCCCATATTTTCTTTTGGAGATGATTGTTTGTGTGTGGTTTCAACTGATTTTTCCAAAAAAGCCACTAAATACAGATCCAATGGTAGAGGTTACTCCGCTAACAACACCCTCAGTAGCAGAATGTTCTTCTTCATGTTTCTTCTCTCTTTTTTTATCATATGAATGTTTTACAGTAGTAACATCACCTGCAATAAATTTTGTAGTGTGATGATCATCTTTTTCTTTCTTTTCAATAGTTTCTTCGTCTTCAGAGGCAAATGCATGACTAATTTTTGAGGTATTTTGTTCTTTTTCTTTTAATTCCTCATTTTTAGCCTTTTCTTCTTCTTTGGAACTACCAAATACATGGCTGATTTTTTCAATTATGGTTTCTTGTTCAGTTTCTTCTTTTTTATGTTTAGTATCTTTTTGTTTTTTTTCTTCTACCTTTTTGTCATGATGATGTTTCACAGAACCAACATTTGTAGTAGTGTGATAATCATCTTTCTTTGCAACTTTTTCATCTTTGGAAGAACTAATAAATGCGTGACTGATTTTGGTAGTATATTGTTCTTTTTCAGCAATTTCTTTCTTCCTTTCAACAATTTCTTCCTTCTTTTCAACAATTTCTTCTTTTGTTTCTGTATAAACTACTTTTTTTGTTGTTTTTTCTTCAACAAGATTGCAACAAGTTTTTAAAAGTTCTTCTTCAAGCTCAGTATCTTTGATTTGTTCACTTAGATATTTTCTAGCTTTTTCATACTGAATTTTCCAAGTTGTTTCATGAGAAAAAGCATGTAATTTAAGATAGCTAATGGTAATTGCAGTTGTCCACCAAGTGTGATGTGTAGTGGTTTTCTTGAGACATTTACTAACAGCATATGTTTGAATAGTAGATTTGAATGATTGAGATTTTGTATCAGAAGAAATTTCAAGAATTTCAGAAAGTGTGTCAGAAATATGGAATGAGCCTTCGTTGGTTTGTTTGGAGATGATAGTTTGTGTGGTTTCAATTGATTTAGTGTCATGTCTTCCAAAAAAGGTACTAAATACAGATCCAATGGCTGATGTTGCTTCTTTTTTATCACATGATTGTTTTACAGCAGTGGAGTTACCTGTAATAACTTTCCCTTTTTTGGTTGTTGTTTCTTCAACAAGTTCATAACAAGTTTTTGAAAGTTCCTTACTTTCAGCATTTACTAGTGTTTCTGATTTGGGCTCCCCATAAAGCTCATCGAATTCATCATCAGTTGCTGTTTCAGTTGTCCATCCACCACCACCAAATCTTGTTTCAGATACCAATACTGTTTTAGTTCCTAATTTATCTTTAGCATTCGCATTCCATTTTATAACTTCAAGTGATGTATTGGATTTAATTATTGTATTGGAATTATCAAGTTTGTCAGCAAATACTTTTGCAAGTGAATATATTTTTTTAGAAGATCTAATTAATGGAAACCTACAAATTTCTACCACATAATTATCAATGTTGTTGTAATCCCATTGACCCTCCATAAATTCTGAATCAATTGCTGATCCATTAAGAATCCAACAAATTTCAAGATCGTCTAAATCTTCCAAAAGTGTGAAATGAAATATTTTTATAAAATCTCTTATAATTTCACCTGATAATGTAGCAAGTTC